GGAGATATAGTTCGGAGTGTGGTGTTGTCAAGACTGAAGTAAGGCAAGTCGCGTTGGTCTAAGGTAACCTGTAACTGTAAGATAGATAGGTACGTCAGATACGTACCCCGAGACCTGAGCTCAGCTTCTGGTGTCCGCTGCGACAATCACTTGCAGCTGCCCGCACTGCCAACCCATTTACGCGTCGTCCAGATGAGGAAAGGTGCCACTTTACGCGCTCGCCCCCGACCGCGTTTCTTCCAGGGGCGCGACTGGGTCCAAACTAATTTCGCACTCCAAGTGTTCGTGCCCCCTCTTCCCCATCTCTGCAATCCCCCCTCTCCTTCACCGTTGTCCAGTTTCCTCTCGTCGCAACGCTTTTTGTGCATTTTACAGCGAAGAGTAGCACTTTCGAATGCGTTCTGTGACATCGCAAATATGAGGTGAGCTTTTTATGACACCGTTGCTTCCCCGGGAGTGGTTGCTCCACTGTTGCCATGGGGAAGAAGAAAATCATGGCTCACAACATCCAGTTCCCCCCTCCGAAGCAACTACAGCTCTGCCAACAGAGGAGTCCCCGAGCGGGCGAGTCGCAAGCGTGGTCGTGGCAACGGTGACGATGGCACGTCCTCAATCGCAGCGCCTTCCAGCCCCTTGGCCTCATCTCCACCTGCCCCCTTCGTTGCTCATGGCGGTGACGATGACGAGGACATCGAGGACGACCCCGAGATCCTCGATGACCTCGACGACATGGACGAGATGGCCGAAGACGACGTAGACCTTTTCCGCGAGGGTTTCGAGCGCGATTACAGGGCCAAAGAAGACGATCGTTACGAGGGTCTCGACATCGACGATGACGGCGACTTTGATGACATGGATTTGGGTGCAAGGAGACGACTCGAATCTCAGCTCAACCGCAGAGACAGAGAAGTTGCCCGCCGCCAACGCATCCCCGCCGCGTTCCTTCCCGGTGAAGACGATGAAGGTGACATTGATCTCTCGGCCCAGCCCCGCCGTCGCCGTCACCACTACGACGAAGACCCTGATGAGGATATGGACGCCGACATTCTGGAGGAGGAGCTTTCTCTCGAGGCTTTGCAAGATGCGAAGGCTGCTAGTCTGACCGAATGGGTTTCACAGCCAAACGTCCAAAGGACCATCAAGAGAGAATTCAAGGCTTTCTTGACGGAATATACCGACGAACACGGCTCTTCGGTCTACGGAAACCGCATTCGCACCCTCGGTGAGGTCAACGCCGAGTCCCTCGAGGTCTCTTACGACCATCTTTCCTCCTCTCAAGCACTTCTCGCCTACTACTTGGCCAATGCTCCGGCAGAAGTCCTGAAGCTCTTCGACGAGGTCGCCATGGATGTCGTTCTCCTACATTACCCCGACTACGAGCGCATCCACTCGGAAATTCATGTGCGCATCTTTGACTTGCCTGTTCACTACACTCTGAGACAGCTCCGTCAATCGCACTTGAACTGCCTGGTGAGGGTCAGCGGTGTTGTCACCAAGCGAACTGGTGTCTTCCCTCAGCTCAAGTACGTCAAGTTCGATTGCACCAAGTGCGGTATTACTCTTGGGCCATTCCAGCAGGAGTCGAATGTTGAGGTCAAGATCTCCTATTGCCAATCTTGCCAATCCCGCGGTCCTTTCACGCTCAACTCGGAGAAGACGGTCTACCGCAACTACCAGAAGCTCACTCTTCAAGAGTCTCCTGGCACCGTTCCAGCTGGCCGTCTTCCTCGTCATAGAGAGGTCATCCTACTATGGGATCTCATTGACAAGGCCAAGCCTGGCGAGGAGATTGAGGTCACCGGAATTTACCAAAACAACTACGATGCCCAGCTGAACAACCGCAACGGATTCCCTGTTTTTGCCACTATTTTGGAAGCAAATAACGTCGTCAAATCTCACGATCAGCTGGCTGGGTTCCGCATGACGGAAGAAGACGAGCAGGAAATCCGCAAGCTCTCTCGCGACCCGGCTATCATCGATAAGATCATCAACTCTATCGCCCCTAGCATCTACGGTCACACGGATATTAAGACAGCAGTAGCTTTATCCCTCTTTGGCGGTGTTGCTAAGGTTGGAAAGGGTGCCCATCAAGTCCGTGGCGACATCAACGTTCTGCTTCTTGGTGACCCTGGTACCGCAAAGTCCCAGGTTCTCAAGTATGTTGAGAAGACGGCACATCGCGCAGTTTTCGCGACTGGCCAAGGAGCCAGTGCCGTCGGTCTGACGGCCAGTGTTCGTCGGGATCCTATCACTTCCGAGTGGACCCTTGAGGGCGGTGCTCTCGTATTGGCAGACAAGGGCACCTGCTTGATCGATGAGTTTGACAAGATGAACGACCAAGACCGTACGTCAATCCACGAGGCCATGGAGCAACAGACCATCTCCATCTCAAAGGCCGGTATTGTCACAACTCTGCAAGCTCGATGTGGCATCATTGCCGCAGCTAACCCCATTGGTGGGCGATACAACTCAACCATCCCTTTCTCGGCCAACGTCGAGCTTACTGAGCCAATTCTTTCTCGTTTTGACATTCTGTGTGTGGTCCGGGACACTGTGGAGCCTTCAGAGGACGAACGTCTCGCTCGTTTCATTGTCGGATCTCACAGCCGCAGCCATCCTGCATCCTCGCAGCCCGCCGCGGACTCAATGGATGTTGAGCAGGAATCCGAGAAGCAGGACACGCAAGCTGAGACGCAGAAGAAGGAAGGCGAAATCCCTCAGGAACTTCTCCGCAAGTACATCTTGTACGCACGCGAGCGTGTCAGTCCCAAGTTGTACCACATGGACGAGGACAAGGTGGCACGTTTGTTTGCCGATATGAGAAGAGAGTCTCTTGCTACTGGCGCGTACCCAATTACAGTAAGTATCCCACGATAGACGACCAGAATCTCTGCTGATTGTGTTTCAGGTGCGCCATCTCGAAGCCATTATCCGCATCAGCGAAGCGTTTTGCAGGATGAGGCTGTCAGAGTACTGCTCAGCGCAGGACATTGACAGGGCAATCGCCGTGACTGTGGATAGTTTTGTTGGCAGTCAAAAGATCAGCTGCAAGAAGGCCCTGGCTCGGGCTTTCGCCAAGTACACCTTGGCAAGACCTGGTGGAAACTCGCAAAAGAAGTCGGGAATTGCCAGCCAAGGATCAAGGAGAGCAGGCACAGTACGAGCATAAGGACGAGGAAGCGAACTATTTTGGGGTCATGATTGTTTGTTTATGATGCGATGGGCGGAACTTTTCAGATGCCCAGCAAATCAGGCTGGCGGCGACTGGCGAAGAGGCGAAGTGCACATGCCTGGGGCGGGCAAGGTTTGATAGATGACACTAGGTAATGTGAAAATGGCTGATTTTCTTGTCACAATTGCTTGCGCCAGGGGCTGGCCGAAGGAAGCGCATGATGATGGACAAAAGTTGGACGAAATCCGATGACAGCGGCAGTCCGAGTCTGATGACAGGATCGGACGAACAGCCTCGAAACGGAGGGTTCTATGCGGAAGCTAAGGTAAGCTTAACGTGGGGATGATGATGAGGATTGATTAGTCCCGCATCGAAGGCTAGCACGGACAAAATTAGAAACGTTTAAAGAGCTGCCTGCGCTGTGGGTGACTTGATATGTCGATTCTGTCGACCAGCTACATACACAGCCTCAATTCGCCTAGCAATTCCTTTCTTTGCGAGATTTGGCTGCATAATCCCCCAACCCGCGTACAGCGACTGCCAGACATGTCGCGGTGAGCGGGCATGCAGCCCAGGGCACGTTTGAATTGATCAGAACCAAGGCTCGCGTACATGAAGCGTACCCCGGTCAAGTTCAGGTGCCAGAGTCTCGGGTCTTGCTTGGTAGTATTGTGCCTCTTATTGCTCCAACACACACATGGCTCGATGGCTGTGTACTTTAGCAACCAACAGTAATGGAAGCCCGTCTTCCAATATCACTCCACTGCCTCCTCTCCCTGCGTCGTCGCTGACAAGGGTCAATGATTGCTTCAGGAAACCAACCCCTTCTCGCTCTCAACTACGCCGCCCGCAGCGCCCTGTTGCTAGATCCCTACTTTTCACCAACATCAACACCAGCACCACAGCACCAGAGCACTGATCTCTAAGGTTCTAGGCACGAGGCCAGGATCCCCATTAATCCCACGCAGATTAAGTCACTTTGAAGGGTTGCTCATCTGCAGGTTTCTAGGCAGGATGAGGAAGTGATCCCCAACATGATGGATGGGGGGCCAGCCGCACGCGACGAAAGAAGTCTTCCGTCGCCGATGGGCAGCCGAGCCCGCAGCTGCGGCGTCGACGCCGGCGACTAGATCAGTTTGACCAGTTCTCCGCCCCGAAGGATCAACTCTGAAGAGCTTCCGTCGTGCCCCTGCTAGCCGATGCTCTTGTCATGGCTATTTTTCGCTTCCTGGCTCTTATACCACTCCCCTCCTTTCTACAACCTTGGTCTCACAAACCCTCTATCATGGCAGCATCTACTCCCAGTCGTTTTACTCCTCGTGCCAAGTTTTCTCCCTGATACTCTGATTGTCTTTCTTCCCTGGTGCGAAACTGTGCCTTACTTCCGAACCCGTAAACCGCAAAGAGCCAACCAGACGCCGACAAACAGGACGAAAACCTGGTTGAATCTCAGACGTATGCGCCCTCCCGAGTATCATATATAGCTACTGCTTTGTCCCTTCCCGTCGCATCTGTACCACCGGCGCCGAGATCACGCAACGCGAGACACTCACTACGGCTTCAACGCAGACTAGTGTCCGCGCGCTCCCCGACGATCGTCACCCCTTACCTCCACGAACATTCCAACCCGTCCGTTTGGCGCCACCTGTGTCCCCTCGTTTGCCAGCTCGCAAGCACAGCAGCCCAGGAGTTCATCCCTCGCCAAAAGTTCCAAGCAGGATTCTGACATCCGGTCGGCCCTGCAGCTATCCTTTTACGCCTAAAATAATGTCTAGTTAGATAATCAGTTTGGCCCAGCACACAAGCCGGAGTTTCATTCAAGCCCGCCATGGCCGAAAGTGATCACAGGCGGATCCCTTACTCCCTGCACCCAGTCCCTGAGGTCGAGGAAAGCCATCTTTCCAACTCACAAACAGGTCGCGACAACAGACCCTCGCCACCTGGATTTCTCCTTTCGTCTCCCATCTTCCGCCGAGATGGCTATCGGCCAATGCCCTCTGGCTCTATTGACCTTTCATCTTTAGACGGTGTTACTGAAAACCAGCACGTGGCTCGACCCGACACCTCCTACAGTCAAGAAAGCGACCCTCTCGGTATTTCAGTAAAGGGGATCGCAAAACGTGTGTCCTTCACACGCGTACCTGTTGGCTCTAAAAGCAGCTCACCCGCTACGCCTCGTTTCAACAACGGATCTCACGGCTCGCCAGAGTCTGGAACTACATCGCCTCGAGCAGAGTCTGGACCTGCATCACTTGCTCAGAACCCAGATCAGGACCTCGTCTCGCCTCTGGAGGAAACGCCAGTCACATCGCCAAACTCTTTGAGAACAGCTACACGCATGGGAAAGTCGACAATGCCTTGGGACGATCCGCCTAGAGATGACGGTTCGTGGGATCCGTCATCTCGGGATGAAATTGATTTGGGACGCGTAAACCCAAGCAAAGACGGACATCGACAAGATGCGACATCAGTGGGATCAGACAGGGGCAACAGCGCGCAAATGCGCAACGATCACGACGCAGAAAATAACGATTCTCATGACGACGATGAGACCTTTTACAAGAGATACAGTAAGGCTGTTATGGTCTCCTAAACTCTGCTTTCACAGCCACTAATACGATACGCAGGCCATGTGCCACATTATTGCGACTCACGGAAGGACGTTCACAGAAGAAGAGCGAATTGGCTCTCCATCTCGATTATAGCACTTTCAATTTACTCAACAGGCCTCAGCTGTCTATGGTTTGTCGTCGCCGTGGTGCAACCACGATGGGGACCGACAATCTCATCCAGTGGCGGCATCGCCCCTTCAACGGCCACCATGGTCTGCGCAATGTTCGCGAAGACGATTGAAATATCTTTCGTGACGGTCTTCGTGGCCTTCATTGGTCAGGTTTTGACACGTCGGTCATTCGTCAAGTCGTCCAAGGGGATGACCTTGGCCGAGATGACGATGAGAAACTGGGTCATTGTGAGTACCTCAGCCATCTGTATTCTCCCGACAAATCTAACGTGACGTAGCAACCCGGGTTCATGTTGACGCATTGGGAAACCCTTCCCTACGCCGCAGTCACATTCCTCGGAGCGGTCTCCCTTATCGCGACCATCGCGTCGACGTTCTACACCACCGCGTCTGACGTCATGGTTTCACCCAAGCTGAAATACGGCGGCTGGGAGAGCAAGGCGTTGAATGGTTACGTTTTATCTTCTTACGCAAACACTTTTGCTACGCAGGATAGCTGCCCGACACCCCTGCGCAAAGAAGATCCAAACGGACCGGAGTTTGCTGCCAGATCGTGCTTGGACATTCAGTATGCCGGGCAATGTGAGCTTATCCCTTCCGTGGAAGACTCGATGCTAACCCACAAGGAGCCTATCGGAACTTGGTATCTTTCTTGACAGTGTGGGACGAGATTAAACATAATGGTACGGGCGCCTCTTTGGACATGTCTCATCGGCCTGTGGGAACCACGCTGTTGTACGACAACACGACTTTAACTACGACCTGGGTCAAAACGGAATACAGCAATGTAACTCGCCAGTTCGAGGAGAAGGGGCGGATCATTCACAATGTAACCCTTGCAATGCCCCATCCCGGTAAGTACTGCGAAAGTCTGAGGTGCTCAAGGCTTTACTAAGAAAGCTCGCTCAGGTGTATATGATGCCGCAACAAACCCCGTGAATAAGATCTTCCAACCCAACGATCTTTCAGGTGTTGGAGAGTATGCTATTAGAGCGAGCGTCGTCTCCCCTGTCATCAATGTTATGTGCGTTAATATGAACGAGGAGGAACTGGCTCCTCTTATCTATACGAAATGGGACAATAGCCAAACAAATGCAACCGGAGTTGGCAACCAGACTACCGGTTGGGCCGGTTGGGAGGCAGAGGTGCCTCACCCCGAGGAAGATGAGTGGCTCAACCGAACAACGGTCGATGACATTTTCCACTGGGGGCCAACATACGGACGTCGGCCGCCCGTGTTCCAGCTTGTACGTGTCTATGATGCTGATATAGTAGTTTATTGCTAACATGCCGAACAGTATCCTGCAGACTTCAACATGATTACCAACACTACGGTATGGATGAGCTGCCGATGGAAGTGTGAGAGCGTTTACTGACTTGCACTAGGTGTATCAAGGAGATGCCATTTACCTTCTGGCCAAATCGGCTTCCATCACCAACTACACGCTTTGTGAGATGCGTTCCTGGGTCACGCCGAACTGCTCGACTCATTTCAACATCTCTGGCACCGCTGGTTCACATATGCAGGCTCACTGCGAAGATCCCGATGACCCAGACAGATACGACCGTTCCGTGCCTGAGGTCACGCCTGAAAAGCCTGATGGCGATTGGAAGGTATGTAGTGCTCAACATGGGGGTTCTCTGGGTTGAATGCTCACTTTACCAGAACATCGCAGATCAATGGCGACTCTCGATGGATATCAACGGCGGAACGGTGAACAATAACGCCTCCAACGCGCGAACACTCACGCAATTCATTCTAGAACAGGGCAAGCTCAACCCGCTGCTTCCCTCCATGGCCGAAGCGCTCGCCGTCTTCGCCTCATCGACTTTGGTCATCGGCAGTTTAGGGACGCCCTTCATCCATTACTGGGACTACGAAACGATGCAGCTGGGAGAACCAGGTGCTCTCGCTACGTTTAACGCCACGATCCGCACGCAGGAGTACACCTCTTCACATGAGTACGAATGGCAAAACATATTCTATCTGGCTCTGGTCCTTGTTTTGCTCATCAACATCTTCTGTCTGGGCTACTTTCTCTCACGCTCGGGTCTGGTCACCGACTACACAGAACCACAGAATCTCTTTGCGCTGGCTGTCAACTCGCCGCCGAGCGAGCAACTCAAGGGCAGCTGCGGCGGCGGTCCCATCAAGGCCGACTTCGTGGTACCCTGGAAAGTGGCTTACGCCAAAGGGCCAAACCACTACTTCTTCGAGGAAGCCAACGGGCAGACTTGGCGTAAGAAGCAAGACGCCTCGGCCGACACGGAATACCAGCGCGCTAGGGAGCGGAGCAGTTACAAGAGGCTCAGCACAAGCCGCACGTGGTTTTAATGGCCATCTGCCCTGTTCGCACAGGAGGCTAAGAGAGACATGGTGTTTTGATAAAAGATAGACAGCGAGCGCGGCTCGGACGTTGGTACTATTGTTTGGAGTTTCAAAAGATACCAGTTGGTTCACGCAGTGCGGCAGCAACCACACCATCACCATTGCTTGAACGGGAAGATGATGATATGTGCTCATAGTCTCAGTTATTCAACCGTCGCCTCCTTTTCTTGGCGTTTGGTATTTATTCTTGGGACGTCGACCGTTGGCCGGGCCTGTGCAGTCGAGGTTTTGCATGAAGACAACGAGGGCGGCATGAATCGCCGCTCTCCAACAAGGTGATACCTAGGAGAAAAGCTGTCCGAGGAGTGAGGCAGTGCAACCTCCAACTCGATCATTCACCCAACCTGGCCGGCCATGTGGCCAACTGGCTCGAAAGCCGCATCCACCTACCCACCCTTCCGCCCCGTTCCCGAGATGTGCTGGCCTCGAGACATACCGTGGTGTAGTAGGTCAACTGCCATGTCTCCAGATGACCCCCTCCCCTTTTGGTAGGCTTAGATCATCATCGTCAACCTCGCGCCCTAGCCCGTCAAAGTACACTACCGCTGCATACCTCTGCATTTTTGTCTCACTCTAGGCTTGCATTGGCGTAGTGCAGCGCCTGGGGGACAAGCCACAGCATCCCGCAATTCATCTCCCCGCCAAGCTAACAGGATCCTTGGGGTCAAACTCAAAATTGCGGGAAGCACATACCGGTGCGACTCGACTTCCCAAGAACAAGTCACGGCCAACCCATCCATCCCCCCTTCACGTTTTCAGCAACAACCTTTTGCAGTCTCGTCCGCACTGAGGTCAATTCTTGCCAAACTTCTTCTTTTTTTGATTTCTTGGCATCAAGCCTCGCTCCCGCCTCATCGCCCAGCTACGTCTATTCTGCCCACCTTACCTACACGGAGAGAGGTACATGCCCAAGACGACTGACGAGACGAGAGGGTGGCTCTGACTGTCGATCACCCTCATCTGGTTCTTGTTGCACCGCTCGCCCTTCACTTCCAACACTTCCGCTCCAGCATCTCCACACTCAAATCTGTCAACAATTGTGCCTTGCGTGTCTTGGCACTTCGCATCGGCGGTCGGCATTGGCATTGGCATCCAATCTCGCTACCCTCCAATCAATAGGCCCCCCAAACCGCCAGCCCAGCTTGATCACGGGAGGCCGGAGACGGGGTTTGTTCGATTTTTGTCACCTGCTCTGCCATACAAACACCCGCGCAAGCCGCATTCAATTACTGGCTCCCTTCCGTCAAACGGCGCAGAGAAAAAGAGGGGGAAACATACGAACCGCTTCTCGGCAAACCCTCCCTTCAACCACATTATTAAGGAATGCAAAGAAAATCGGCTATCAAATCACCACATGCGCCCACTCTCGGCTGGCCCTCGAATTTGAGAACACCCCACAGGTGATTTGCCCAGTACGAGCACGAACGGTCCAAGTTACCACGGAAACCCGCCATAGACGTACAGACTCAAGTCGAGGTGTGGTCACGACAAACACTTCATATTCACAATGCGTACGTTCATACTCATCCTTACAACACTGCTTTTCCTTCTCGACACGACATCCCCAGGGATCCCGACACTTGTTCTGACTGACTCCTCCAGCTTACTACGCAAGGACCAAGGGCCGGACTCAAGAGATCCCACCCGACGGCAGCCGGTCACCCCTCCCGGTCTCCGGCGCCCGGTCACCGCTTCCGCCTCGGACACCCGTCAGTAAGTCCGCTCTACCTCATATAGCTTTACCCCACTCAACGCCTCCATCTCGGACCCGGTCATCCACTCTTCTCCTCCACCGTCTCCACGTTCTCCGTGCCATCTCATTCTCATCTTTTCATCCGGTTGCCCTTCATCACAGATGGATTTAACTAACCCACTGCCCAGATGGCCGCCTTTCATCGCGCTCACTGCCAGACCTCAGCGCCGACGTCCGCGCCGCGCTCTCAGCCCCTAAGCACGATGACGTTACGTATCAGCATAGCTTCTGGACCCGCTGCCGTTGCTGCCGGACTGGCCGGAGTCCTCTCGCTCTGATTCGAAGGATCATCATCGTGCCTCTCGCGGACCTGCTCGTGCTTGCTGAAGACGTAGCAGAGTCCGTGCCACCGGTTGTACCTGCACTAGTGGCCTGCATCTTCTTGCTTGCCATATTACCGCTAATGATCGCATGGGACGTGGTTTGATGGAGACATCGCATCGGATTGTCGGTACTGATCCAGTAGTATGTAATGCGAGCATCATGGATGCAGATGATGCAGACTCAGCACCGAAGAGACAGGACTGGGAATGAAGGCTTGCTACGATAGAATGGGACCTGGCGAAGAGGATCGTTTTCTTGGGCGTTCGGTTTGAGCGAGAAGGGATATACATATATGGGTCAACATTTGCCTATTGTACTTTAACTTTTTAGACCACACGGGGCCTCTCAAATACCCTCATAACTAACATCGAGAGGATTCAACAAGCCACCGAAAAACGGCAAGCTCTGGGCATCCGGAGACCACTGCCATATCCGCGCAATCTCTTCCAGCAACTCCCTGTTGACCTTGTCTGATGCTATCTTTCCCTCCTCAGCCTCAAGCTTGGACCTGTACCAGTCACTGATCCATCCCATCTTCTCAACCAGCTCCTCGCACATCCCTCCTCTGCTTTCCGTGTTCTCGTCTTCTATCCATGGGTAAGTCGCGCCAGTCTCTGCGGAGAATTTCTCCATCCTTTCCCGTCCTGCATCCACTGTCCTCCGAAACAAGCAGGCCATCCGCTCCGTCACGTCGAGAAAGTCGAGGGATGCCCTGGCAGATTCCAAATCCCACCCTTCGACCTCGAGAACCAGCAGTCTCGTCGTGACCGTCACCACCGTCTGCGCGTGGCTGATGCTGGCCGAGGTGCGGTAGAGGAACTGCTCCGGGGGCAGCGTCGTGAGGGACTCGTAGTACGCCCTCGCGGCCGCCAGACAGTCCAGGAGACAGGTGGTGCGGTGCAGCGGGGTCGACGTCGCGGCCTTGATTGCCGGCTCGTACAGCTGCACGAGGACGGAGTTGTACTGCATCCACAGATATGCTGGCAAAGGAAAACCATCAGCGTTGCGCAGCGGCACAAAAGAAAGATCAAGAACTTACCGAAGTAGGGGTCTCGGGGGTCAATCTCCTCCGCGACGCGGTCCACCTCCCTCCTGATGGCGACGGCCTGCGCCTCAAACAGCGTCGCATACGACTCCCCCGTGGCGCGGTTCGCAAACGACCCGAACACCTCGGCGATGCGCCCGGAGATCTGCATGAAGCGCACCATCCTCACGCCCAGCGCGTCCTCGGGCGAGCCCGACCTCGCGAGCTGCTCGCAGCAGATGTCGACGTACAGGCCGCCGCCGCTACCGCCGCCGTTCTGCTGCAGCAGCGGGTTGCGGCGGGCGAACTGGTTCGAGTTGACCGTGACGACGTAGAAGAGGCCGAGGAACGCGCGCTGCTCCTCGGGGGTGTGGTGCTGGATCATGGAGGCGGCCATCCTGGACGCGAAGCAGTCGTCCGGCTGCGCCGTGCTGGCGGCGGTCCCCGTGGATGACAGAACGGAGAGGGGGATGCGGGTGATGCCGATGCTGTGGGCGTAGCCGAGGGCCAGGTAGACCAGGCGGGTGATTTGCTTGTCGTAAAAGTACTTGATGTCGGCCCTTTTTGTCGTTTGTTAGTTTCTTGGAATGTACAAGAGAGGAGCAGGGGTTACTCACCACATCACGATGACTAGAATACCCTGCAAAAGGTCCAGCGTCTCTTCGGTCTCGAGCAGCATGCGATGGCCGAGGTACGCCAGCACCTCGCTACGTATGCCGGCGATGCGGGGACGCGGGAGCGGCGCGGCTGCCAGCATGACGGCTCGGAAGAGAAACGGCTTCTCGCGAAGGAGGTCTTGCGGGCTCTTCTGGCGGTCTATGATGACGAATGGGAAGTTTGGCGTGAATTTGTCGCGGAAATCGTTGAGGATGAAGCTTGCTTGGGCCCATGTGAAGCCCAATGGAGGCGCGTACGGGTCATGTAGGCCTTCCTGACCGGCTGGGTAGAGATGACTGGCATCCAAGGTATGTTGTCTGCCGGTGGTATCATGGTTGCCTCTGTCTTTTACAGAGCTTTGTGGTGAGCTTGAGTTGGACGTTGAGCTGCCCGAAGATGAGGCCGATATGCTATTTGGCTTGTCCGTTGTTCTGAGAGAAGCGATCTGTTGCTCGAGAGAGGCGACACGACTGGGGCATTGTAAGCCTGTGATCTCCAACAAGTCATCCTTGTGGAAGACAACTCACTTCACCAACGGCTTAAGCTGTCTTGGCCGTCTCACACCCCGCGTCGTCTTTGCCACACACTCAATCTTGAGACGATCACATCTTGGGTGGCTCAAAGTTAGCCTGGTCATGTTCACCGAGCCTGGATGCAAAAAGACGTACCGGTCACAGAGGTGCTTCCCGGCATTCTCCTCGCGGAAGTTGCAGCGGGCCTTGGCCCTTGTACACGGCACGCAGGCCCGCAGCCGGCGAGGTGGACTCCCGGGTCTCGGGGGTTGATCCATGAAGGCCGACGGGGCTGCTTTTGACTAAGAAATACGGAGCCGTTCTTGCAGTCTGTTGACTTTCTGTCCTGACTGTTTTGATTTGAATTTTCTCAGTACTGTGGTGAATGTCCTCGAGAAAGATGGAGGGTGACCGTATGGGCTGCGGGTTTCCCACTTCGTTAATAGTGCATGATGATGGTCACAGGTGAGAAGTCGACAAGCAAACCTATGCGCGAGAGAATGTCCCTGAACCGCATTTTATAAGGCTAGCCCCTTGACCACAGCACGCGTAAGAGAACACTCTGTCGGCGTCAGCCTGGCTGTGTTGAGGTTCTCGTCGGGCGAATTACGGGTTAACAGAATGGCGCGGGATAACTCAAAGTGCCCAGGGATAAAGCGAGATAGTATTTCCATGACGAGCACGTTGGTGCGCTATCTTTTACAATCCCGGCGACCTGGAATGTAAGCAGTCTTTCTTCGCCGTGTGGCTTGGGAGAGACGGACCAAAAAAGCGCCCCCAGTCCGGGAATATGTACAAAAGTCCCAAACTGCAAAAAAGGCGTCGCCGCAGAACGTCGAGGGTGATGTGTGTTTGAACAGACTCTTTTCAGACGAGCAGTTCGTGTAATAAGCACCTAGTGGCCAGTGCCAAGGCTTTTAGTCTGAATTCCGAGGACGGGTCTGTTCGCCAGGGCTAAACCGGTTCGCTCATGCCAAAGTCGTGCCATCTGATGTCCGAGTTTGATTGCAGCTTACGCTGGCAAAACAAAACAAATGGGGCCACTTTTTGTGTCCGTTTTATTTTCCTGCGGATAAGAGATAAGAGGGAAAAGGCGCAAGGCTCTCAATGCGAGACATTGTCTCAGGAAAGCACATGTTCTCGGATGGCCAAGTGGCACACATTGCTCATCAGCTTCCCGATTGCGGTTTGGATTGCAGCAAGTTTGATTGCCAACGATGAAATAGGTATCATTAAGAAAACAAAAAAAGGGCTCATAATATCCTTTGCGGCGTCTTGAGTTGACATATGGCCGCTCCCACGTATTATCCGGCCAGTCGTCCCTTCATGCCGGTATATACAGCCTCTGGACATTTCCTCGTAACCACGTCTCTCGTGAGACTCCAATCCTGTCGTCGTTGACCGGGTCGAGAATCAAAGTCGATAGATGGGATGGTGGATGATCCGCGAGTGTAGTGATGAATGGTGCTGGGATCTTCGTGCCCGTTCCAGCAGCAGCCCTCATGTGTAATTCGTGATTGTTGTCATTAGAGGGCCGCCGTTCTCGACTTCAATAGTCCATAATGAAGCCGTCCATTACTTCCTCCAACGCACCTCATGCTCCCTGCCTTGGTGTAGTAGCGGCGACGCTCAAGCGGCAGCCTTTGCGGCCTTGCGCCTGGAGATGCAGCGGGAGATCAAGAGGCCGGCGATACCGCAAGCGACAATGAAGACGATGCAGAAGACGACGATGACACCGGCCTCCTGAGAGGCCCAGTTCTCGCGCTTGGCGAGCTGGTGGACAGCATCGCGGGCGACAATGGAGTTGATGGCGGGCATTGTGACTGAGTTTGGGGGTAGAGTCGGCTGGAGAAAAGAAGAATTGTCAGCGGGAGAGTGAGGAGAAGAGAAACAGCGGCGGCCAAAACAAAGACGGCGAATGGTGCTGAGCGTGTGAAATATGTATGAGTGAGCTCGCTCGTGGCGAATGCAACTACAAGCTGCTAGAGTAGCATCAGGCCGAAAAAACAAATCGATTGGGACGGCAAAGCTTGTCCCATTGAGGTATTTTATGGAGACGACCGTCCGAGGTCTTAGAATGCGGACCCTTGAAGCTCGGTGTCCATCGTCATTACCGGGGTATCCGGCGTTCGGCTGGCCGACAAATGTCCGGTCTTGTTTCCCACGATCTGGCCCAGCGCGCCGGGCGCAAAGCACGGGAGCAGGCCTTGACGGGTGAGGAGCGGCGCCGGGTTTGAATGAGGGGTCCGGAGAAGTGTTTCGCATGCTAATTGGAACTCGAGAAGGGGAGAATTACCTTTGATTCAGAGAGTTTTGCGTCGAGTGACAGAACAGAGGTGGGGAAACGAGACGGGGTGGTTCGATCGCAGTCACTGGGGGGAGACTAGCTAGGCGTCGCAGGGCGCGCACTTTGTCAGCAAGGTAAGGAAACAAAAACTGGGGTGAATCTTGGCATCCGATGCTCACGTTGGGCGAACAACACGCGACGATGAGGGGGGCTGGAATTGACCGTCGCACGAAAGAATCGGTGTCAATTGAGGGGATTGATCGTCGAGTGAGTTGGAGGAGGGAAAGAAGAGCGCGAGCAGGAGGTTAGGTCAACAGAGGGCGGGTGAGGAGGTAAATAGCTGCTCAAATAGTGGCCGGATGGGCAGGCGCGAGTGACGGTGATTCGACATGGCCGGATACAGCGACAACATACTTTTCCCTCGGCGCAATGGCGAGAACGACAGAGGACAGGAGGTACTCGTTACTACGCAGTACATCTGCGGTAAGTGTGAGAGGGTTAGGCCATCAGGCAGGTAGGTAGGATCCGGTGGTAGCGTTATGTCACAGGAAGCGGCGCCAAGGGCAGCAGAAAGCTTGTCTCCAAGGATGCCGGGAAGACGGCAGGGTCAGTCGTCGCGAAAG